CGGTGTCTGGTCCCGAATGTCACATTGTGCTGAGGAAGAAAACCCCTTTTAAACCGAAATCTCCACAAGAACCAAGTGCTAGAGCTACCCGTTATGAACCCAGGGCCCTTAGACCAGGGGCTTCACCATCCTATGCCGCCTTCTGCTCATCAAGGAGAGGACCCGACTCCCCCCAGCTGTTGGGCGAACCTGGGTGCTTCACCCAAGGATGCCAGGCGGGCAGAGCGACTGCAGAGCTGGCTGGTGAGTGCCTAACACTGCCACCGAGTCCATGCCTACAGGCCAGGCTCCAACTGTCCTGGTGGGCTCCTGAGACGGTAGTGTACGAGACTAGAGAGCCTCGTCTTTCTCTCAGAGCTTCTCCTTGAAGCCTCCGCAGCCCTTCGGCTCTGCGCGTCAGCAGGGTGGGGCACAAACTCCCATCCTGATTGTCCTCCGCCCCTTCTAGGAGGTGGACCACACCCCGGGTGATGCAAAAGACTAAGTGCTTGGCTGCTACCTGCAAGGCTGGTGGTTAAACCCACCAGCAACCCCTCGGCAGAAAAGAGCTGGAGATGGCTCCCTTAAGGTTCCCACTGCCATCAAGGCAAGGCCGGCTCACAGCGACGCAGGAGGGCAGGGTGGGGCTGCCCGGGGGGTGTTCTGAGACAGGCATCTATGCCACCGCCGAGCCCGGCCTCTCCCCTGCCCTGCCACCTTCCACCCCACCGGTGTCCACCGCCAGCCCTCCTTCCTGTGAAGGGGGCCCGTACGGAAAGCCCTGTGGGGGTAGTTCTACTCCAACAGCACACAGCAACGGCAGACTGTGTGCCAGCCAAGCCCGGTGACACAAGTGATTAAGCGCCCAACAAAAGCCGCCCAGACACATCAGGGGGCAGGTCTGGCAATCGGCTTCCGAAGGGCCGCAGCCTTGAAAACCCACCCGATAGCGCAGTGCCACTCTGCCCCGGGGCAGTCCACGCCAACAGCAGAGCTAGACTGGCGGCTCGGAGAGCAAGACCAGACTCTTGTTCCCAGCACCCAGCCCGCCCCTGGGGGCGTCTGAACAGACGCAGGAGCAAAGCGGGGCTACACAGCCGGCGCCCGTCGGCACCCGGCTCCAGCTCGCTCAGTCCTTGTCCTGGGCCCTCTGCGCTTCTCCTGGGTTCAT